GATTAAAATATAAGCTAAATATTTAAGAAATCTATACTGAGTATCCAATAATCAATATAGGCTAGTATTTTCGATGAATTTCTTCAGTTCCCTATAGCTGATTGCTCACTCAAACTACCGCCTGAAGAGTCCATTTTATCATCCTGCTCTGAGCAGCATCTCATTTGATATACAAATTGACTCAGTGTTTGAGCACTAGACGGTGAAAAAGGCTCTTGTTTTCTGTAGAATTCAACTTAGTCTGAGAATTAGCCGTCAAGTGTTTTTGCAGCACACAGATTTGTGGGGGTGAAATGTCTAAAAGAAAGCGGCTGCAAACGTTTACGAGCTAAAGAGCGTCCCCACAACAACTCCCAAAAGCATCAGACAGTTTGATTCTTGCAGCTGAAGACACTTGTTGATGTAATGAAAGCTAAATGGATGAAGGGTGTTGTGGATGCAAACACACTCCGCTCTGATTCTTCATGGACTTTCATTCATCTTATTATCATTCAGCATGTGACTCTTCTAGAAGCTTTCGTGTCAAAGGCATGAAACTGATTACTGATCTTCATACGATGGTATTAACTGCTACCCGACAACAAAGTCCATTTTCTCCTCTGGTTTACATCATTCCTTGAATCTCTTTCCTGTCATTCCATTTTTCACCCTCTTTGAGAGAGAGAGAGAGAGAGAGAGAGAGAGAATGAAAGAGAGGGACAGAGAAAGACAGAAAGTGTTTGGTGGCTCTTTGTCTCTCATGTGCCAGTCACAGTAGATGGCTTCTCTGATTAAGTTGTTCTAATTGGACTCTGCTTCAGATTCGGCAGGTGAACAATGGCTCGCTTTGATGAATGAGTCGTGTTGCGCTTTGAGCCTTCGCTTCTCAATCTGAGAGAAATCGTTATGCCATTAGCGACGGATCACATGCCAAGAGCCACAGACACAAAGAACTGAGTCTTAAAGTCAAAGAAGCAACAAAGCAAATGACTTAAAATCTCTCAGGTCGAATAAACATTAAGAACCATAGTGTGAGGAAATGCTTTCAGCTGCTGTAACAAGCTTGTAAAACACGTCTGAGACGTGATCTGTCCTTAACCCGTACGCTCAGATTTCATTTCTATTTTGCATGAGCAGAATGACAGAATGTCCCTGTTTTGAGACCAGAGGGGCTGCAACTGCTCCAACACTCAACACACAGATGGTGTCTTTATGTAACGGACGCGTTCATTACATCCACATCATTTCTCATATGAAGCTGCACTTCATGCTGAAATCAATTCACCCTTAAGTTTAGCAGTTGACGACGTACGTGTCAAAAGTATCTTAAGGTCACCAACTTGGTTTGAAAACAAACAGTTTCTTTGCACAAGCAGCATCCTTGACGTGACATTTGAACAACCAGACACGAGCATCTTTTTTAACAGGTGACAAAATGAAGGTCGTGAAAATCTCCAGCCTCATTAAAGAGTTCAGCGTGTTTGTGAAGATTCAGTGAAACAATCCTATTGGACGTCAATCAATAGAGCAGCAGTAATGAAAAAGAATTATTAGCGGCACGAGGGCATGTTAAAAGGTTTTAAAAGATGCCATTCCTGATCTGATACTATAGGTCACATGATATAAAAACAGCCTGTAAACAAGTTATAGATTATCACATATCCTGCATAGAATACCAGTAGTATGACGCATTAGACCAAAGACTAAGCCACTATGTCATATGATAACCCTTGTGAGGTGAAAAAGGCTCTTGTTTTCTGTAGAATTCAACTTAGTCTGAGAATTAGCCGTCAAGTGTTTTTGCAGCACACAGATTTGTGGGGGTGAAATGTCTAAAAGAAAGCGGCTGCAAACGCTCACTGATAACTGATGCATTTATTTATCCATTCAGTGGGAGCTAAAGAGCGTCCCCACAACAACTCCCAAAAGCATCAGACAGTTTGATTCTTGCAGCTGAAGACACTTGTTGATGTAATGAAAGCTAAATGGATGAAGGGTGTTGTGGATGCAAACACACTCCGCTCTGATTCTTCATGGACTTTCATTCATCTTATTATCATTCAGCATGTGACTCTTCTAGAAGCTTTCGTGTCAAAGGCATGAAACTGATTACTGATCTTCATACGATGGTATTAACTGCTACCCGACAACAAAGTCCATTTTCTCCTCTGGTTTACATCATTCCTTGAATCTCTTTCCTGTCATTCCATTTTTCACCCTCTTTGAGAGAGAGAGAGAGAGAGAGAGAGAGAGAATGAAAG